CTTGCAGCAGTGCACAGCCGATGGCAAAGTCCGAAGCGCCACAGACGACGCTGAAAGGTCGATCAGGGTCTGGCAGTGCCAGTATTGGTGCATGCAGGAGACTGTCTGACCCTGTCAAAAGCCTTCCGCTGCTCGGTGCTCAAACACCATTCCTCATCCTTTCTTAGGAGACTGGATAATGACCGGGCCATTTCTGCGTAGTTTACGTTGTACTTGAGCAAGTAATTAGCAAGACCAAGCCACTTACGCAAGTCTTTCTGGTTCTTTGGAACCGGCCAATCTACAATGGCCTTGACCGGGAAATACTCGATGGACACGCTTCCCAATGAAGCACCCTAAAAAGGGAATCTCTGCCGCGCCAAAGGTGCACTTGTCTGCATTGGCGTACAGTTTGTTAGTGCGCATGCACTCGAGCACCGATATTTAATGGACGATGTGGTTCTCCTCATCCTTCCTCCCGTGCTCCGCACGACTGGAAACGAAAATGTCGTCAAAGTATGTCTGTGCATACGCCCTATGGGGCCTGAACAACTACGTCATAAGACGATTAAATGCTGCTGGTGCATTTGCCAGCCCTTGGGGCATCACCGACCACTCCCAGAGCATGCCGCTCGGAAGGCTTACCGCTGTTAGCGGAATGTCACTCGCTCTCATGAGCAATTGGTAGTATCAATCTACCAATCGAGTGCACTGTACTTCGTACATCCCGCCATGTTGTTCTGAAGAACATCCTTTCAAGGAATTGGCGTTTTTGAGGGAATGGTGGCAGCGTTGAGCTTATGGTAAGCCTGAACGATACGCCACTTGTAGTTCGACTTCGAACACAAAACGTGGGTGTCGAATGGGGAGACTTGCTCTCACGCACCATGTCTACGTCGTGCTTCGCACGGAATAGGGCGTCAATGACGTCTCACTGCTCCTTGGGCAGGGACCATTCGCGTGTTATGCAGTATTTGGTTTCGGAACCAGGTCGACCTCATGACGCACACCTCGATCCGGAGGTAGGGTCGAAAGCGGGTCTTTGGAGACGACGTCTTAAAACTCCATTACCAAAGGAGAGTACGGATCCAAGCGATTCCGTAGGATCTT